TAGGTATGTATTTGAAGGCGGAATATTACTGGACGTGTGAAGTGGGCTAGCATTTAGTGTGTACAACACTTTCATACTGTATAGTACAATTTATACTCTCGCACTCATATGCCCTGAGATACCATTCCTTCTGCCCTTGAATGATACCTGCGTACGGCTCGTGGAAGTATCATATAGGTTTGTACATAATCATAATCTTCTACTCAACAGTCATGACAGTGCGCTTATGCCTATACCCATAACCTTCCCATGACTGATTGCTTTTTAGGATCGCATCGATATACTATGGGAGACTATGTTTAGTACTGAACGGTCGTCGGCCAGTGCGAACCGCCGGACGAGTTCAGAAACGGACACAGACGAGACCACAGATGCGCATAATAACCCTCACACACACAGTGGTATGTAATACACACACAGTGGTATGTAATTGACTTATGTAGTACAAAGAGTGGTATGTATGTCATCTATCCGGTTACTTCGGCCATGTGTCAGCTATTTCTTATTGTGAGTATGTTTTAACACACAGTAAATGGTATGTATGTCGCCTATTTGCCATGCAGTCAGTGTGCGAGTATGATATAAACACCCAGAAAGCGAATGTATGTCACCTATACGTTATATATTCGGTGTGTCGTATGTTATGAAACAAATAATATGTGGGCACGGTCGTAGTACCATACGTAAGGGCGACTCACGTGTATCTGTGTCTGTATGTAAATACCTGTCAGTTCCTCATTCCCTGGACATACATATCACCTATCCTTAATCTAATGCGTGCATGCTTTAATCTCGCACCCTTTTGTCTAGCCAGAACTTCTCATTAGCTGCACATATTTGTGCGTACCTATGTGTACATGCATTACATCCTCTCGGCCCTCAGATCTATACTTCAACCGGCTCTTTAGCCTTATTTTTCCCAACCTTATTCAAATTATTGTCATGCTTCTATGTCGAGTAGCGACTTCAAACTCTGGCCAAGTACCGAACTTCTCTGGCCAAGTACCGAACTTCTGATCAATAGCACATTTTTTGTGCGTACCTATGTGTATATGAATTCCTTCCTCTTGGCCCTTAGGTTTGTACGTTAAATAAAGTAGCTCTCTAGCCTAATTCAACCCAATATGTATACCAGGTAGCGGATTCACACTCCAGCCAAGTTCCGAAATTCTCATCAATTGCATATTAGTGCGTCTCTGGGTGTACATACAACCCGTCCTCAAGATTCTGCATATTTACCAATACCGACTCACAAATCATATGCACTCCATGTTCTACCACGGAGATATTCATTTAATCTTACTTTCTCCCACTTCTGCTAAATTTACTTCCTACCATACCTGGTAGCGAATTGCTCTCCGCCAGTGTACCGAACCTCCAGTTATTCATACCGTCCTATGTGTATCTGTGTGTACATGTATACCAAATACTATGATCAATAACCTCAATCCATGTTGACTACCCCTTAAAGCTCAAACTTATGTATTCATTTCCATTGATCTCGTCTATACAATGGCAGGGGAGCGTGTAGGTCAAACCGAGCACAAGCCCACACCCTCCGGTCAAGTACCGAACTTTCCGTCAATCGTATCGAGCTCACCCGCTGTAATACCGTGTGTGCGAGCATCTCGACACACCCATACATACAGGGACAAGGATACGAATGTACTACCTAGTAGACACGCCTATAAAAGTACACCTACACACACACAAACAGATACTGGTACACCAAAGAGTGAGCAGGCCTGTACGTATACACAGCGAAACATACATCTGCACCGCTACTCGGGGGACGATGGCGTGCGACACACCCCCGACAACAACATGGGGGTGTACGATAACACCACGGGTCCATACGACAATCAAACCAGTGCATACGACAATCAGACCAGTGCATACGACAATCAGGCCTGTGCATACAACAATCAGACCAGTGCATACGACAATCAGACCAGGGCGCCAGGGGAGAGGGATGTTGATAGGGGGTCGGAGCTATTCTATTCTGTGAGGGGGTTAGATAACGCGTGTTCCGAGGTATTAGAGAGTGTGGCGCTGGAGACTGTTACTATTAACGACACCCTGCGTGTACAGTCTGTAGTGCTGGATATGGATCCTAGCCTGCCGTTAAGGTGTGTGTGTGCGTGTTCTTGTGAGGCTGTGTCTCTGTCTGTCTGTGTTTCTGTATCTGTGTGACTGTATACATGCTTGTGTGTGTTTGTGTGTGTTTGTGTGTTTGTGTTTATGAGCTTGAGAGTCTCCATTTGTCTATGTTGACTATATACCTGTTTGTGTTTGTGTGCTTGTGCCTGTGTGTTTATATCTATGTCTGTTTTTGTGCGTTTGTGTCTATGTGTTCATATCTATGCCTGTGTTTGTGTGTTGATGTCTGCGTGTTCATATCTATGTCTGTGTCTATATGTTTGTGTGTTTTGGTTTATATCTATGTCTGTGGTTGGGTGGGTGTGGGTGTTTATATTGTGTCTATGTTATGTGGTTGTGTGTGTGTATAGATCTACGTCTGTGTTTTTGTGTTTGTGTGAGAGAGTTTATATCTATGTCTGTGTTTGTGTGTTTGTGTCTGTGTATTTATATATATATCTGTGTTGGTGTTTTTGTATCTGTGTGTTTATGTCTGAGCTATGTCTGTGCGTGAATTTAGGTTCCTTGAGTATACTAAACACTACTTGCAGATATGAAGGGCTACGGCTTTATGGCTCTATATGATATGTGTGATCTGAGAGGATTGTATCGCATAGATGTACAAGACTGTGTCAATGTGAATACCTTAAATGTGCGATAGACACTTTCTACAAGGCACCAGGCGTGCGAAAGTCAAGGATGAATGTCAAAAATGTCGTAAGTTGTCATGAATATGAACGGCCTGGGACCCTGTAAAGTATTTACCATTTGTCGTTTATTATCATCAATATGGATCGAGCAGTTGCTATTTGTTGTATATTGTGATGAACATGGCCACACTCCAGAAGAATTTGCTTTTTGTTTTTTGTTTTTGACGTATGGAATTAATGCACTAGAATAACTACGTACACCGATAAGCAACATCGGCAGGTCGTAAATCTGCATTTGCGACATCGTCGCTACCAGTCATGGGCAACCTCACAATTGTCGTACAATTTTAACAATTGTTTAATGCAGGATAGAGCTCGTGGCTCAATTGTTAACTGGGCATACGAATACGGCCAACACGGCCCATAAACAGGTATACGCACGGCGTGTGTCCTGACTCGATATGATTCTTGCAAGGCATATATTTCGAGCATATTGTTT